AAATAAAAAAAGGCGATCTTTTGGATGTACTGTACATATGAACGTGTCAGGACAGTTGGTGGGGTGCAGTTCACAGTGGAGTGGAGTCTCCGAGTAGGTAACACAAGATCGAAGCCGTAAGTTGCCTCAGGCAGAGACCTACCCAGGTTAGTTAGTGAGGTACTACCTTACAAAGCCAATATAACCTTATCCGGCACTGAAGAGGGCGGTGACGCGTGATACCCAATCACCATGAAGCGATTGCGGCGCTTATCGGCAGATCCTCCACCCTGACCCTCGATCGATGCATCGAGCTGCAAACCCGGGGTCACCCACCACTACCACGTACCACCTTCAGGTACTGTACGAAGTACAGTATATGATCCACTTATCTGCAGGGGCTAATGCGGCTCTGTGCTCTTTCCTCCCTCATTACTCTTACTCTCTGTTTGAGACCGCAGAAATTTTCTTTGTGTGTTATGCCCAGATGACGGCAACTACAGCCCACCTGTGAAGGACTTGACCCAGGCCAGTGAGATCGCCGCCGACTAGATTTTGGCTTGGTCCCTAGTTGCGGATCAACACGCAACAACAAACACCCTGGGTCGCGCAAGAACAAGTGCTTTTATCGTTGCTATGTTGGCCGCAAATGAAATTGCTAATGTGACATCTGCACCTGTTGTCGATACCCATGACTGTCAGGTATGTTCAAAACACCCTATTGACATGGAGGCTATATTGTTCTCTCCCTGCCGGAACTACCAACTTTGAAAAAGAGGATGGTCGCTGACCGGTTGCTTCTACCCCCTTTCTCCCCGGGGAGGAGGGGAACTTCTGGCATCCAGACATCACTATCACACACCCTAGGAATTAAGTATGACACCATGGCTCTCGACTCCGACCAGGAAGCCCTATCCGCCACCGACTTCTACCCGGGGCTAGAATCATCGGTCGACTCTCCGGCCTCGACGCCGACCCCCGCCACGCCCCAATCCGAATGCCCCGCCCCCCGAGGCATCGTGGCGATTGATACGCCTACTGCCACGGCCGCTGCTGTTGCTGTTGCTACCGCAGGCAGGGACGGGGAAGGATCGGACATCTCGCTCGACTCGTACATCGCCGTGGGGGTGCTGCGCAAGCGCAACCCGGTCTACGGGAGTGTGGAGGAGGCCCCGGCAGCGGAGGCGGCGGACGGATACCCGGCCTCCCAAGTCGCCAACCTGGAGAGTCACCAGTGGATCCGGACGATCAGTTTCACATACCCGGAAGAACACTCGTCGTGGTGCGGGGTGCAGGTCTACGTGCTGCCGGATGATGTGGGGCGCAAGCACCTGCCGCGGTCGAATCCGGCATTGCGCCGGGCGCTCAAGGTCGTCATGGAGAGGGTCGATCGCTCGGTGGAAGCGTGGTCGGGCGACTTTGTCGCGGATTGGAACACCTGGGGCCCCACTAAGCGGGATCCAGAGGGGGATGGGAAGGAGGAAGAAGAGGATTCTCTTTGGTACATTTTCAACACCCTGCAGGACCCGGCGCCTCGGGCACATATGATCAAAGATAACCTGTATGCGAGGAGGGCGATGGAGCAGTTGCTTACCGTGACGACGCCAGCGCCGGCGTCGAGCGGAGGGGAGGGGAAGGACGACGACGACGACGAGGAATCCGGTCAGGATCATTCAGGGGTATTGGGGCTCATGACGCCGTTGTATCCCTACCAACGTCGCTCGGCTGCAATAATGGTGCAGCGGGAGGCTCAGCCGGCGCAGATGCTGGATCCTCGACTCGAGGCTCGCAGAGGTCCAACGGGGCAGGAGTATTACTATGACAAGGAGGAGGGACGGATTGTGCGGGAGAAGAGAATGTATTCGGAGGCTTGTGGAGGTTTGTTCTTGGCTATGTCAATTGTGCGTGTCCAGGGGAAGTCAAATTGCTGACGCTCTATGTGCTAGGGATTTTGGCGGAAACGATGGGCTGCGGTAAAACACTGATCAGTCTGGCGGTGATCTTGGCAACACGGGGGCATTTCCCGGAAATCCCCCTGGAGCACCAGGAATTAGAACCTCGAGTCCGGGACACGACTGGAAGTCTGGTCGAGATGGCCGCGACGACCGCCGGTCGGTTCTCGCTGCCATGGAAATCCCACTTTGACGAACTAGGCCACTACGGCGCCTTGTATAACAGATGTGTTCAGGCGTGTGAGAGGAATCGCGGTTCATATACTATACCTCCGCCCCCAGCTAGGCACGGAGGTCGCAGCGGCGTGCCGTATCCGAGGCCGCCTCCCCAGAAGGTTTATCTCTCTTCGGGCACGTTGATCGTTGCTCCACCGAATCTGGTCAGCCATTGGGAAAAGGAAATCGAAATGCACACGCAAGGCCTTAAGGTACTTACTCTACGATACAACAGCGACCAAATCCCCTCACCTGATGAGCTGCTGCATTATGATATTATCCTCTTCTCAAAGATACGCTTCGAGAAGGAAGCTGGTGAATCGGCCCAACTCACTCGGCACCTCCCTGAACCTCCAACTTCCCCCTTGACCAAGATCCATTGGTTGCGTATCATCGTCGATGAGGGCCATAATGCCGCCGGCAGCGGACATCGGTCGAACATGGCTCATTTACTCAAGCAGCTGCGCATTGAGCGGAGGTGGGTTGTGTCTGGTACCCCGTCCAGCGGGCTTTACGGGGTGGAGGTTAGTTTAGCCTCACAGGAGACCCACACCAGCGATACGGACTTGACCGAAGCGACGATGGCTGTGTTAAAGGGCCGGAAGAAGACCGGCAAGGCTAAGGATGGTGAGCTCAAGGATCTGGAAAAGTTGCGGCGGATTGTGATTGATTTCCTTGAGCTGAAACCCTGGTCGAACTCCCGGAACCGGACAGATGACCAGGCCAATTGGGTCACATATATGACGCCTGTAGGGCCTGGCTTGAAACGGAGAAAGGCCTCATCACTCCGGGCTACTTTGCAGAGCCTCGTCGTTCGTCATCGGTTGGATGTCATTCACAACGAGATTACGCTTCCTAGACTTTACAACCGAGTCGTGCAGCTGGAGCCGACTTTCTACGACAAAATGAGTCTGAATTACTTCATCTTCATCTTGGCAGTCAACGCAATTACCTCGGAAAGAAAAGATCAAGATTACATGTTCCACCCTCGCAACCGGAAGCACTTGGGCCAGGTTATCAGCAATCTTCGCCAGGCGGGATTCTGGTGGGCCGGCTCAGATGAAGGCCTCTCAAGTACGATTGAAAATGCTTTGAAGTACTTAGAGAAGAATCGCGACACGATGTCCGACAATGATATTGAAATGCTACAAGAGGGCATCCAGGTTGCGGAACAGGCTCAGGCGTGTAGCAGCTGGCATGCCTTCAAGCAGATGCACGAACTCGGTGTATTCGTCGAGGACTTTCCTTCGCACGCTCGAAGCATGTGGGCCCTCGATAACACAAGCGTAGAGGACGAGCCTCTACTACTTGGAATCACGCAAGCGCATCACGCGCAGCGATTCGTTACCAAACAACTGAACACACCCGACCCGGCCGACGGGCTCGCTGGCGCAGGCATCAAGGTGCGTCGCGAGCTTCGACTCGCTAGTAGCAGCGAGGGCGACAACTTCGAGACGAAGAAGACTACGCCAGACAAGCCGATCAAGAGTAGATCGCCCAAGAAGACCTACAGCAAGGGTCTGGTGAAGACCTTGTCGCCTGACTCCCCACTCGCCAAAACCAAACTCGTCGCCACCGCCTCGGCCAAATTGACGTACCTCCTGGATCAGATCTCCGAGTACCACAAGAGCGAGAAAATCATTGTGTTCTACGAGAACCCCAACACCGCGTACTGGATTGCGGAGGGAATTGAGCTTCTCGGAATCGATTTCCGGATCTACGCGCAGACCCTCAAACCCGATACCCGAGCGGAATACCTGACCTTGTTCCGCGAGTCCGAGGAGGTGCGTGTCTTGCTCATGGACCTCCGGCAGGCCTCGCACGGACTGCACATCGCCAACGCCTCGCGCGTCTACATCGTCAACCCCATCTGGCAGCCGAACGTCGAAAGCCAGGCGATCAAACGAGCGCACCGCATCGGCCAGACTCGCCCCGTCTTCGTCGAGACGCTCGTGTTGAGGGACACCCTCGAGGACAAGATGCTGCGGCGCCGGAAGGCCATGACCGACAGTGAGATCCAACATGCCGAGCGCGACCTGCTGGATGATAGCACAATGAGCTCGATCATCCAGAACGAGCGCTTCATCCCCATGTCGGAGAACGAGCCCCCCTCTTCCGCCACGCGGCTAGCATATCTGAAGCACCCTGCCGGATTTTTCAGTCGACACAAGCTCGCGATCGCCGACGACGAGGATGTCTCGAGTGTCGAGATGGCGGGGACGGCGGCAGCCGCGACTTCTTCTCCGAAGACACCGCCGGTCGCGCTCCGGAGGAAACGCGCGCGTCTCGTGCCGGTACACCTCAGCGAAAGCAATTCCTCCGGACCGGACATCGTCACCCCGAAACGGCGACGGACCTCGGCGCCGAGATTGAGCTTCGTATCTCCGCAGGGAATCCTCATGACGCCTCCACGGAGTTCCAAGTCCCCGCGGCCCACGGTCCGTTCGGGGGAGTCGTCGAGTGGTCGTGCAAATCCGGCTGTACGAAGATAACGAAGTGTATTGATCGGGCTTGATATTGGATCTACATGACGGGATAAAGAGAGGGCAAAACATTCGGTGTACCCTGTGTACCATATATGAAGATTTACTTACTATGTATAACACCTTCTACAAAAGATGTACAGTACTGTATGTAAATCACCCAACCATGAATTACATTGTAGTACTGTTGCAAAAAACGTCAGTGCGATCTCGCGCGCGCGCGCGCGCGATAACGATAAGACGACGGCCATACGCAGCGGGCCCCACCCCAGCTTGCTATCGCGATAAACCCGCCGATCAAGCACGTAAGTTACCCTACGAGAGTCCTACCTACCCCTCTTCCCTTTCCTCTAACTACCCCAAGCTCTTCTTCCGAGCCACCTACCTACCTAGGCCTCAGCATCATCATCATCATAATCATCACCAAACATCCAAAATGCCCCCTCCAACACCCACCATAATAATCGGCCTCTCCGGCCCCTCCAGCAGCGGCAAAACCACCCTCGCGCGCCTGCTGCACCGCATCTTCACCCTCCCTCCGGACGCATCCACCCCAGCTCCCCCTCCCCAAATCCGATCCCTCCTCATCCACGAAGACGACTTCTACCACCCGGACGATAAGTACGTTACCTCCTTGTCCCCCCCCCCACCACAACAAGCTAACTCCTAAACCCCACGGTCGGGGAGAAAAGAATCCCCCTCACAACCCTCCCAACCGGCACGGTGCTCCAAAACTGGGACACAGCGGGGGCCCTCGACCTGGGCTTCCTGGCGGCCTCGCTGGAATACGTCCGGACGCACGGACGGCTGCCGCCGCGGCTGCGGTCGAAGGAGGATCAGAATGATACGCAGCCGGTGGATGATGATACCAGTGCCAGCACAGGGGCTGCGGGGGAGGGGCAGGGGCAGGAGCAGGTCGTGGAGGCGTTGCGGAGGCGGGTGCAGCAGCGGCTTGGGGCGGATGCGGGGACGAAGACGGTCGCGTTCATGGAAGGGTTTTTGCTCTTCGCGCCTCCATGCGACACCGCTGCGGCGGCGGCAGCGCAGCACCCGCTGAGGGAGGTCCATGAGCGGATGGATGGGCGGTTGTTTTTGCCGGCGGCGTATGAGAAGGTCAAGGAGCGGCGGGAGAGGAGGTCCGGGTATGTGACGATTGGGGCGGCGCCGGTGCCGGAGGGAGCAGCAGCGGAGGGGGAACAGCAGGGTAACGGTAGTGGTGACGCGGTGAAAGACGACCGGGAAAGTATCGACTTGGAGGCGGAGGATGATCGGCCGCCGCAGAATTTCTGGACCGATCCCCCCGGCTATGTCGACGATATCGTCTGGCCCAATTATGTCAAGGATCATGCGTGGTTGTTGCTCCCGGAGAGGGAAACGGAGGACGAGGACCGCTTGCTGAGGGAGTCGGATCCCCAGGTGCTGGTCCGGCTCGTGGGCCAGGGGACTCGCTTGCGAGAAAATGCCGGGGTCACCGTTGCTCCGGGGCGCGGGGATAAACCCATCACGGAGCTCTTGACTTGGGCAGTGGAGGAAGTGTTGAAGCACCTAGAGAAAACGGTATAGACGGTATAGACAACCTGCAAAGCCCATGGTGACCATTGTAAATATTCTACCTAGACTAGACACATAATTGGTATCTGCTTGATACGGCTTCTGCTTCTCTCAATCTCAACACAAATTCCTCACACTGGGTCACCGTTTGGAACAATCGGCCCGCGCCATCCCAGCCAGTAATCCACCTGGTCTCGGAATGAACGGGTTTGGTGTGGATGGAGTGGCTGCTGCTTCTCTCCAACTTCTTCTGCTCCACTTCCCAACCCCTCCAATTCGACCTCTGCATCAACAGACTCCTGCTCAGTCGGTTCCTCCGGCAAATTGACATCCCCTCCGACTGACGCAGTCTTGTTCAGCTTGAACATCTGCTGAAAGTGGTTCTCATCCGCCGCCACAGAGCTCACCTCGCTAGTCAAATTAATGCCCCCTTCATGCATGACAGACGATTGCGAAGAGCCTCGAAACGAACGACTGAGAGCGTTGACGTATATATTGTCAAGCCAAACAGAGGTAAACATGCCACCAACAGCAAACCCTAGGCAAAACATCACAACAAGCCCCTTCGTTCGAAGACTCGCGTACCTTTCATTCTGACCAGCTATCGCATCTTCGCCACGTTGTATAATCTTCTCCTCACCATTCACACCACTAACTGCTCCACGAGCTTCTTCACCGACGTCCGTGAGTTCTTCTGTCGTCATTGGGGAGGTCTCTTCGCCAATGTTCACTACATCGTCTATCATCCCTACTGGAGAAGCATCTGCAGCGCCAGACTCTTCGGAATGCGATGTATGCTCCAGCGGCTGCCCCTGTGTCTGCAAGCCAGCCTCGGAATCTTCAGGCGTTACCTTCATGGAAGACTCTCCAGGATGGTGATTTGCTGGATTTTTAGAAGGAGATTCATCGCCTCGTTCCAAGTGAGTGTATCTGAGATAATGCTTAGCACGATCATTCGAACCGGATGGCCCAGGGTAGACTCTAGGAAGCCAGCTGCTTGCTTTCTTCTTGTTGTTGTGAGAGAGTTTGACCATCCAGCTGATGCAGAACATCTCATAGTTCTTCGGGTGGCAGATGATTTGTAGGGTCGAGGTACCCAGAGGCGTGTCATGTTCCGGTGCGATCTGAACCACCTGTAGCCCTGTTTTTCGAGTGTCAAGTTCGGTTCGAAAGAAGCCTTCGGGCCCACCATCTATCGATAGTAACACACAGCATTTCTCAGCGCAAAAGCAACGATTGTGAAGCTTCACCGAGCAGAATGCCTGGTACCGAATGCAAATCGATTTCTGGCGGTCGCGAGTGCCTTCCGCGGCGCCAGAGCAAGGCATGATCTCCGCTTTGATCTCTTGGTCCACGGTGAAACCTTTGATAATGCCGTAGAAATTCTGGTCGCACCGTCGAAGAGGTATCATAATGTCTCCACGATAGACTAACTCCGCCAGAAAGCAATTCTCCACCATCTTGTACCGTCCCAGGTTCGTGACTCGAAACTCAAGCCCGTGGTTTGCCGGAATTTGAAAGAGCAAGACCCCGATTTCATCAGTTCCCAGCCTAGGCAACCCCGGGATGACCAGGTAGCTCCAGCCACTTGGTGCTCCTTTCTGAAGCTTGATGGTCAAGGTGAGAACCATCTTGTATGGCACTGGTGTTATGTTGGGAGGGCTTTTGACAAACAAGATGTCATTGATGAGAATCAGTTCTGGTTCAGCAAATACCTCCGGCTGGGGTGAATCGGTTTTTTCCTCAGAGTCATCGGTTGGATGATCCGAGATGGTAGGCTCTGGGGATCCAGGCTTGGCCGAGGTCGAGCCTGTGAGGGGGCTTTGGGCTTCTGTGGTCATCCTATCGTGCTCAGGATCTGTGAGTGGATGGCGAGATTCTCGGAGGGTTTCGTCACTGTGCAAAGATCCATGCAACGATTCAGTGTCCGCCGCTCCGTCTGTGCCACCGAACAGTGGCCGTTGCTTATATTTGAGGGGAGTAGTTGGGGCTTCTTGGCTACATATATGGTCTGGAACTGTTTCCATGGGTGGAAGGCTGCTATCGACACGGGTTTTCTGATGCCTCCAAGACTCGTGCTCCCAAAGGGACTTTTCTAGGACTTCGATGTCTCTTGCCGTGAAGATCGAGTCAATACCAGAGTCCGGTTGCTTATCCGTAGGCGCAACGTTACTGACAGCTGCTTCTTCGATGTCTTTTGCCGGCAAGATCGAGTCATTACCAGAATCTGGTTGTTTATCCGTAGGCAACAGGGTGCTGACTGCTGCTTCTTTGATGTCTTTACCCGTCAAGATCGAGTCAGTTACAGAGTCCGGCTGCTTATCAGTAGGAAGAACCTTACAGACAGCTGCTTCTTCGGTGTCTTTGTATTTTGCCGGCAAGATCGAGCCATTACCAGAGTCTGGTTGTTTACCCGTAGGCAACACGGTACTGGCAGCTACTTCTGCAAGATCGATAAGAGTAGCCGTGGAGTTTGAAAGGTCATTTTCCCCAACCTTGATGTAGCTCGAAGCACCCAGGCCAGCATCGGATGATGCATCTGAGAGCACTAGTTCGACTGGCTTGTCAATCTTTGATGTAGATCTAGAACTTCGACTCGAATGGTTAGAGCGATAGCTCGTGGACAGCCTGCCTCTCAACCTCTGCATCTTCTCAGCAAGTGGACTTTTCGTTGGGCTTTTGTGTCTGTGAGCAAGGCCGGTAGAGACAGCATTGTGCGAGGCATCACCGCGTCCCACTGCTTTCTCGTTCGAATCTTCACTTTCCGTGTCTGATGCGGAACTCGGAAGACACGCATCTGCAGCGCTTCGCTTCCCTAGATTCTGGGCATTGTTGCGGTCCTCAGATCGAGCGATGTTTAGACATATGGGCGGCGGTTTCATTGGGGGAGTGCTACGAGATGCATGTCGGCGGCGTGTTTCCTGAAGGCTCGTGGTCCTCAGACGTGTCACTCGTGGTCTTTCTGACTGAGGGCTGGCTCCATCAGAACGGGATCTGATCTCCCCGACCTGATCGTTGCAGGGTGACCCAACAACGTCCTTGAGGGAGCTGACGTCGCTGACCTCATGCCCCGCGTTGAAAACAGACGATCTCCCCGAGTCAAGCTTAGTATCCTCTCCATTATCTTCGTCCTCAGTCACTGATGAAGAGAAAGCAAAGAGGGGACTGGGGGTACGGTATTCACATTTTGACTGATCGCTCTGACCGAAATGGTCCGAATGGACGCGGGTTACAGAAGTGCTGATAAGGGAGATGGCCGAGTGCTTTGTGTTCAGAAGCTGAAACTGCGTGTTGGGAAAACACTGGACCTGTGTGCTCATATAATCCGGTTGCTTGAATCAGCGGCAGACCCTCCAAGCCTCCACGCACGCTCAAAGGATGAGGTTGGTGAATTTGCTTACCTCCAGGGAGATTCTTACGGCCACTGGATCCTCGAAATTGCCCGACCATGTATTTCGTATTTCCAGGTTCGAAATCTCAGGCGGGTTTGGATGTGATCCGACTCGTGTCTTTTCCAGATGTTCCGCCATGCTGTCCCAACCGGAAGCCGTTGGTGAGCAGCAGGGCTCTGTTGAGTGGAAAGTCACAATAGTATGGGACGAAGGAGGAAGACGATCTCAAGTGAAAGATAAAAAGAAGGAAAGGGAAGGCGGGGGAGCGGAGGAAGGAACACAAATGGTCGAGGCGACGCGTGGTGCCCGGAGGTGAATGAGTTAAGGGAAGTTGACTGTTTGGATAAATTGCAATCCTGCCAGAAACGGCAACACCAACACAAACCGTAGACTTGGGCCAAGATTACCTCCAACAAACTTCTAATTACTTCGCAACGAAAGGGGTCGGATTTCTGACAGTACCAAACTGCCTAACTTCCATTTCATGAGCCAGGGAGCGAGCAGCAAAGCAAGAAGACCGGCTGCCCACCTCAGGCCATAATACTGCTCCAGGTCAAAAAATAATAATATATACAGCGAAGTCAGTAGTACCCTCCCTCGACAAGAGAAGCAAGAGCAAGAGACGTAGCAATAGAATCCCTGGTGACCCATTTTAATTCCCCAGGCGCCATGTATCCCCAAGAGCCGCCGATTTCAGTTCCCATGAAGTAACACCGACCGAACTGTCTATCCAAGTATCCCATAGCAAAAAATGAACAGCAAGAAACCAAAAGCAAAAGGAGAAGAAAGAAACCGTCAATATCAGAACACATACATCTGGACGTTGATTCGCTTATCGGGGGGTGCCATTCGCCGAACCAGGATGGTCGAAAGGGGGCTGACCGGGCCCGGAACCGTATCGCTCCGCCTCGTTCGTACCCATGGGCTGAGATGGTAGGATCGGTGTAGCCGCTTGAGACGATTGATCAAAGTAACCTCGAGCCGTCGCCCCATTTGTCCCCTGGGGAAAGTTGCGGTTCCGTTGCAGAGGAGGGAGTATCGTTGAGCTGGTCTGATATTGCTGGGTTCGAGGATAACCTTGAGACATCATCGCCCCTGTCGCATCCGCTGTCTATCCAAAAATGGTTTGTACTTAGTCTATCATCGGGAATAGATGAACAACGGGAAAAAGAAGTCCATACCGGCGTGCCAGGCTGATTTACCATCCCAAGAGACTGCATCGTCGCCTGTTGACTCGATCGGCTGTGAACACTTGGATCCTGCATCTGGGGTACCTGAGCCGAAGCCGGAATTCCGTAACTCATCTGCTCCGGAGTCAGCTTAAGCAAGCATTAGCTACGGTCTTTTAAAGGACACTCGAGTAGCCTTGTGGAGGGCGACCAAGTGACCGCCACACGAAAAGATAGGCCGACATACCGTATAGTCAGGAACTCCCGCATGCCCCGTCGGATAACCCTGCATCATAGAAGCCGGGTAACCCTGAGCTTGGCTGTATATTGCAGTCTGAGGGTAAGCATCCATCTGGCGAAGTCGGCCATCTGCATCATAGACACCTCTGGTGCCCATGTCAATCGACGACATCCGCGCTCGTTTTGTTGGATGCGCCGCTCCGTAGTACGACGCGTAGTCTCTGCCTGCTGTTTGGGGGTACCCGCTGAATGCGTTACTAGACATCTGAATTGACGAGCGATCTGGGGATCGTGGAAGCGGCTGAGGATAATCCTCCGGTCGTGGGGGTGGTCGTTTTCTGTGTCACCAGTAAGCCATGCCGCTAGCGCCATCCCGGGCCGTACTGTAAATTCCGTGGTCTACCTACATCAGCGTCCGCGGTTCTTTTCTGATCCTCAATTTTACTCCTTGATCTGCAAATGATCGAGATAAAAAGGTCGACTCTCCCATTCCAGGGAAGCTTTTTGGAGGGTATACTGCATCCGGTAAGCATTTGACCTCGGGCTGTGCAACGGGTTCAATAATGAAGCGTACTCACCCGTGAAGCGGTCCGTAATGATGGATTTTAGGTAAGTTACATCGTCCCTATAGATCAATGTCAGCACGAGCTCTTGATTTACATCCTTTCCTTTCTCATTCTCCGCAGGGGGGCCTGCGGGCCCTGGAATTCCAACCCCGGTCACTTGGAGAGGCTTACTTGCGCATTTCGAAGAGAGTGAATTTGAGTCGAAAGTCGCCCTCAATCTTCACGGACAGGTCTCCCCAAACGAAGAACCCTCCATCTAAGAAAAGCGCGTCAGTACGCGGCGCATGTCTGCCAACACTCCCGAGCCTCCCTTACCGCTGTTGTCCACGTCCTTCAACCGGTGAAGCGATGAGACCAGTGTACCAGTTAGTGCGGTGGATGGTGCCACGGGAACAGGATTGTCTTCTGAAGCATCGTAGAGGCTGCAGCACATAAAATAATAGGGACTCTGGAGATAATGTCTACTCGCGCCGATTAGCCAGGTGAAAGCCGAGGGCACGAGGGCTCGAAGTTTGCGGTCACATACTGTGCGAGATAGGTCCCCTCCTCTCTCACTCGGATCTGCACGATTGGAGGCGGATCAACTGGCTTGCGTTCTGTCCAGGCAACGCGATCCTCAAGTCAACGGCTGCTCGTCCATGGGACCAACTTTCCTGGCTGCGACGTACCTTTCTCCTTCCCACCAGCCACGCGCGCCCGGGTGGGCTGCTGGCGAACGATCAAGTCGAAGTCCGCGCTGGAGGTGAGCATCGTCAGCGAGAAGCCCTGGATGACCGAGTAAGAGTTGAACAGCCAGCTTTGAGACGACCAAGAGCTGGGGGAGCGACAGCACAAACCTCTGAGAATCGCGGGCCAGGGAAGCGTCCGAAAACGTCGACGCACTCATCAAGGCGAGAGATTGGGGAGATAGCACAGATAGCACCGGATTGAAGGGAGCCAAGGGATCCAAGTCGGATATCCGTCAGGAAACGAGCAGGTGAACCACGTCTGAATAATAGCAGGATACTCAGGGGAACAGCTTGATATGATGGTTGAAGAGAGACAAAAGGTGAACCGGTGGTTTTACAAGGAAGAAAAAACGGACAGGCCGGGGACTTCCACTCTGGAACCTGGCTGCGGAACAAGGTGCGGTTCGGAAAAGCACCAGAATGAAATGAATGATACCTACCCTCGTCACTTTTGCAGGTGATGGATGGGTGGTGGGTGGGGGGTGGGTAAGAGAGTGGTCTGAGAAGGGGAATTGGAGTTGGTTAAAGGATGGGACAGCACAGTGTATGACCGATAGAACGGGGGAGGTGGGATAGTGAGAATTGTAGTTAGTAAGGGTAAGGCCAGATGAGTTTAAGCCCGTTGCAGCTGAACAAGAGCTGTTCTTGACCTCTTGGACCCAAGTACCGGAGTGGAGACAGGGTGGGAATTGCTGGTAGTTCAGCTGCCAGTTGCGGGATTGGTAACAGCTTTCGGGGAGGGAGGGGAGGGGGGGGGAGGGTCGTTCTTTAGGTAGGGAGTTAGTGGTAGCGTAGTAAACCTTAGAGCTTCGATGGATTTGGGTGATTGTGGTGATGAATGGATTGATAGGTAGTAAAGAATGGTAGGGACCGTTTGAAAACAGACGGGGGTTTGGTGGTAGCGGTAGCAGTAATAGTAGTAGTGTACGTAGTGTACGTAGTGATCAGTTTTTTTTTTCCCCTCTGTCGAGTGAGTGCGTGGTTGAGTGAGCGGGCTCGACCTTTGGTTAAGGTGGAAAGGTGGGAGGAGTGGATGACTTTGACTTGGGTTTTGGTGGTTTTGGTGGTTACGAAAACGGCGCCGAGGGAAGGAAAAAGATGGATGGTGTCGTCAGAATGCAAGCGGCAAGAGCCAGCCGAGCACGGTTCCAGACAAACCTTAACTGCCCAAGAAGAAAAAGAAGCAGCAGAAGAATGCACCAAAGCTGCAGCAGAACCTGTAGTTGTACTGTACCTTAACCAGCAGTAGCAGCAGTAGCAGTCGAAGCAGTCGAAGCAGTCGAAGCAGCAGCTAAGTCAGCCCTGGCGATCTTCGTGTCTCTCTCTCCCTCTCTTTCTCTTTCACTCTCGATCTTTGTGAACAATCGCTGATAGAGACACGGACGGATGGCTGAGTGGTTGGAGGGATGGATTGTTTGCACTGTTGGTCTGACCGATCGATCTTCAACTATTTCTTTCTCTTGCTTCTTCTTGTTCCGGTTGATGATGTCGATGTTCAATTGTTCTGGAGTTGACTTCCGGATTCTTTTTTTTCGTTGGGGTTTCTTCTCCTCCCTTCTCCTTCCTTTTGATGTCTTGTCTTCTTTTCTTTTTCCTTTTGCCTATTTTTCCTTTTTCTCTCTTTCTAATCCGATTTTCAATTCCGGACCGACAGAGTAATTTCCTCACCAATGACGAAATATTGATTATCGATTTCCGTCCTAAAACTGCTCCCAATCTCCTTCTGTGTCTCTGTCACGAACTTTTGCCCGAAATCAAATCGGAGCTTTGCGACCGAGTAAAATCTGGTTCATCCAATCCACACCAGGTCTAGATGATTTCCCAAATCAAATAATAATAAAGGAAATATGTTGGTGTGAATAATGGAAAATCCGATGAACCCGATTCAGAAACCACCACACACAGACAACCGACACACAGACAAACCCACGCTCGGTCAAAGACGAACACAACGCTAATCACTGGGGCCCCCCCGCACGTCTTTCTGAAAAATTTCTGGCCAAAGTCAAAAATAGATCGAAATGAAGCAATAGGAAGCGAGAACAGCGACCTTGACAAGAGGAAGGAGTAAGTGTGGCGGGATTGAAACACCGCCTAGTGATCAGACTGTAGCTGAACGATGGGTCAACGCCGAGTCGCCTCCGATTGTCTTCTGACGCACAAAAAACTGCTTCCCTCCTAGAAAGAAAAAATCAAATAATAAAAAATGAGAGTAGGTGTGTCAGGAAATTAGATGGGTAAAAAAAAAGGTGAGCCTAGGGTAGAGATTTACTGGGACGACCAAAGAAAAAAATAGAGAAAGAGGAAACGTTCGGCGCCAGCTGAGCCAGACAAATGGCCCAGTGGAGCAGTCCCAGATTTGTCGAGCAACAACCGGCCACTCTTCGGTCGTCGAATAATGGTATCGTTCCCAGTCGTAGATGGGCGACCACGGT